TTATTTGATTCAGGCAATTGCTCCTGTGTCGCAAGGTGTCAGGTTAATAGAGAGTTCTCCCCATGTAGCTTAGAATTATCCCAAAGCGATTGAATTATTGAAGGAAAGATTAGGCAGAGAAGATTTGTTAGCACAAGTGCATGTTCGCAAATTACCCATAATGTTAATGAAAAATGCTGTAAGTGGAAGAAAATGTACAGATTTAATTATCTGATTATTTTATACGATCAACTCGAATAACATTTAAGAGCTTTAGGTGTATTAAAAAGATCTAAAGAAAAACATGCAGATTTCTTGTCTTCCTGAAGATCTTTTGAGAGCTTGGGAAAGATACTGAGTTCCCTACTTTCCTAATGGTAGCAACAAGGTTGCGGAAACAGTCGATCTCTTGAAAAGCTCATGAAATTTTTAAGGGAGGATGTTAATGGCAAGGAAATGATAAATTGACTCAGTGAGGTTTCAGAATTCATTGTTAAAAAGGAAGTTGATACTTCAAGAAATAATACCCCTCCTGCTTGAGCTCTTACTTCATTCAAGCATGAAAAAACTAAACATTTTTTGTGATTGTCCACATTTTAGTAAGACTGTAGGAAAGCTCCCAAGAGACATTAAGTGAGAAGAAGCATCAAGTTATATGCAAAAGATGTTTAGTTTGTCTTAAGCTAGGACACATTAAAAAACATGTAGAAGTATCATTCAGTGTGTAATATGCGGATGATGACATTATGCTCTGCTTTGTCCAGATTGGAAGAAAGTGTATAACAAATTCACTTTTCAAGCAAATTCTACACAAAACAATTGCTCTACATTGTTTACACGAGAATCCTCTTTATGGAAAATCTGTCTAAAGACCATCTTGATTAAAGTTTGTCGTAAAGGAAGCCAAGCTCTGGTATGTGGTGTGTTGGATGATGGCTCACATCACTTGATTCTAGTTTGCCGTAAATAAAACCAAGCTGTGCTACGTGCTCTGTTGTATGATCATACATCAGTCATACATGAAAAAAGATTTAGTTAAGGAACTGTAACTTTCTCCTATGAGTACAGAAGTGCTGTAGTTCTACTTGATCATCCAGTCATTCCATGTTTAAGGCATTCCTTTGGAACAGATGGGAGTCGATATGCATCGTCCCATAGGATGGTGAAGTCCTAATGTCATAATATTTGTTATTATTTTAAATTATTACTTTAGCTGTTGTACACATTAAAATTAGCATTTTATAATAATTTTTCTTTGCTTAACATGAAAATATATAAAAAATTGCTTATTTTGAGAAGTAATTTTTGGAAGCACTATTTAAATTATACTGTGCAGTTTTAATTGAGAAAATACATTATTGAATTAATTTTAAATCTTTGAAATTAGTTTTAAAAATACAAGAAAGTCTATTTACAAGAAGTAGCAAAATCTTTAATGGGAAGTGGAAAGCAGGTATGCAGTGAGCTGAGTTTCTGGCAAAATGTCCCCATCAGAATCACTAAAAATATTTCTAACTGTTTAGATAATGAATTCTCACTCTCATCCGCATCACTAATTGGCTTATTTACCATGCGAGTATATCCTTTGGCTATGCTTGCTTACCATAATAAACTTCAAGGCTTTCCAAAATAAAAAATGAAGTACTAGAAATATAAGCGATAAAAGCAACGCAAAGCATAACAAAACCCCACATTCTAACTGTAAAAGACCTTGCATAGTAACAAAAAAAAAATAAATAAATAAAATAAAAAAAATGGAAGCACGGATGTTTTTATCATATGTTAAGGAACTGAGCTGTTTGTATATGCGCTTTCCCTTCTCCGCTGCAGCAGCTAACACCAAAGTTTGGGAGAATGTGATCAAACTGAAGATCAAGATCCTAAAACTGTGTTGAGTTCAAAAGTGATGGACATAGACCATCATCTAGTGGTCTTTAAAAAATGGTTCAGCTTAAAATGCGCATATGCATCACCTATCCCTTAAGCTTACAGCTGTGAGAGACATTTGTAGGGAATGCATGTATGGGACACTCTTCCAGAAAAGGGTTAACTGAGTATATGCACAAGTCATTAAGCCATGCTGGAGTACAATCATATCGCAGCTGACAGAAAGGTCTTGGATACCTCATGGGTGGAGGATTATTTGTGAGGTTATATCTGGTTGCATTCCATGCAGGAGACATTTGTCTGAATCCATAGTTACACAAACAGCCCACTTCCACCTAAAAGGTTGCACTGAGTTGCCCCTTTTCAAGTAGCAGATATAGATCTAACTAGTCCTATTTTCTTTCAGGGAGGGATAAAGGCCTGGATGATCCTATTCACCCACACTGTGTATCATGCAGTACATTTAGAGTTAATAACTGGATTGAGCATGAGAGCTTTTATTCTGTCATTGTGAAGATTCATGGCTACAAAGAAGGAGTTCTGGTCCATCTGCACTGATAACGATCATAATCACATCAAAGGCTTTTCAACCAATAGATTGGAATATCACCCAAGAAGAAAGTGTAGTAAAGAAGATAGAAGGCAAAGTTCACCAAGTGCAGTGCAGTAGGATGGATGGTGGGAGCATATGATACGCAGGTATGAAAGATCTTTTGAAAAGAATTCTTGGCAGATCTAGTCTAAATTATGAGGAAATGTCAACAGATTTGTGTGATTGTGAAAATACAAAGAATAAGAGATCATTAATTTATTTGTTGGAGAATCCAGAGTCGCCATTACCATTAACATCACATTTCCTATGGGAAATTCCAAATTTTACAGATTGTGATACTCTTGATTTTGCAATAATCGATGGAAGTCATTTGAAGGAAAGGATACAATACTTGCAAAGTATTTGAGGTTGTTTTCAAAAGAGATTCTGAAAAGAATGTCTATATGAGCTAGTAAAGCATCCGACCATTGAGGCAAGTAGTAGTATTCAAGTAGAAGATGATGTGCTTATGGGATCTGATAGCTCCAATGAACTGGCCTTTAGCTAGAGTGATGGAGCTATTTACAGGACAAGATGAGAAACAGTGAGTGGCTCGACTGAAATCAGCAAATGTAGAAATTATCTATCCCCTTCAGTGGTTATATTTCTTGGAGATTGTATTGTCACACTTAACTCTTGAAGGCAAAGTTGGGAGCTTTTTCATTAAAGGGACCAGATTACACCTTCAAAGGAAAGGAAAGGAGATTCGTTACCCTGTCATGATGATTCAAAACTGCGTCCTGCAAACTGGCTTGACAGTATGCAGTAAAAGAATTACGTCCTCCTGAAATAATACGTATTTGAAGTAGACGATGGGTAAAACAACCCAAAAGACTTTACATTTGCTGATTTCGCAGTGGTAGAATTACTTCCACCTGAAATAATACGTACTTGAAGTGGACAACAGTTAAACAACCTAAAAGACTGAATTAATAAGTACCCTACCTTTACGAACATTGACTAAAATGTCTGTGTTTTATTACGATCTTTTAAGGAATACATCAGATTTGTCTTGTGATATCTAGATATACAAGACAAAAGGTGAGAGGATATTGCGTGTTAATGTTCATTGTTTTCGAATTTAGAATTGGGTTTTTATTTTACATATCCATAACGAGACATGTTTTTATTCAGAGAAAATATTTTCCAAGTAACTTGTGATAATAAGGATGTCTAAGCCTAAGTTTGTAAAAGTGCTTTAGTATGAAATAACATATTTAGTTTATGACTATAAAATTTTTCTGTGTTACTTCTATTGAGGAGTTACAACACAAGTCATCTTGTAATAATGTGATTATAATTATTAGTCCAAAGGGGCTTTGATCCTGAAGGACTGATTTCGTTTTGCGTGGCAAACTTTAAAAGGCTGTATTTTTTTTAAATCATTGCTACCAAATGTTATCGCTCTGTATTATATTTGAAGAAATTAAATAATGAAGAATCTGCATTAATGTATGTATATTTCTCGCATTGTGATAAAACAACAGTACCTAGAGCCATCCAATTTTGAATGAAATAATCCTACTGCAAATATGGGCATCTGAAAGCCCAAATTTGAAATTTGTTTTATTATCGATTTCATATTTTGTAAAACTTTTAACGAATTTTTTATTGACAAACTCAACGATTTAAAAGCGAGTAGTGGCAACACTCTACGGGGGAGCAAAATCCTTTTTATCTCCAGCACACGAAACTGTGTATAGGAAATTCTAAAGATATGCTCATTTTAAAATTATTCTGCAACATTGCTGTTGAACTGAATTTTATGGGTTAAGTGCAGAGAACATGATATTAACCCTCTGAGCATTACATGATTTTAGATCCGTCATGAAGACCGGTATTTAAACAGCATTTATTAATTGAGTTTGCTTAATTACTTATTTTAGTCTGTATTTTCACAAACTTACATTCATTAAGATGATATTTGCATTATTAAAGAAAGCAAGAAAGCAAAATATCTTAAATTATAAGCTAATATATGCCAAGTAGCAAAAGTTCTGATGACCGGATAAAGCCGGTCATAATGCTCAGAGGGTTCATAAATAAAGGTAACACACAAAACGCTAAAGAAATGCCCTTTGGACGTAATTTAAACTTTGAAAACTTTTTTGTAAATAATATTTATAGTTTTTCTTGCTATTTCTTGCTGGAGACGCTGCACACACAGGTGATGCGCTTATATTTGACATAGTATTTACTACTCACTAAGAGGTTAAAATATTTGACTGTATCAAGTTTGACCCAGGTTCGGATGCTAGCGAATAGATTGGCTACAGATGGTAGCTATTTTTGTTACACATTTGTTTATTTTGAAAGCACATAAGAATTATCAGTCTAATAGTGCATATTTTCATAGAGAACTTATTGAGGTACCCTGGCTTGTACTGATATGTACCTTTGGGAAAACTGGTGATAACTCGTGTGTGCATGAATACAACCTGTTTTCCTCAGAAAGTCTTTATTGAAGATAGCTACTAGCCTTCATTTCCTCTGCTATAATAATTTAAATGAATTGTAAACTTTATTATATAATTTCTTTCAGACCAATTCTCAAAGAATGGATGGACAGTTGAAGAGTATAGAAAATTCTGTGTCTGATTTCAGTGCTGGCATAAAAACAAGCTTAGGAGCAAACTGTTTATCTCTGCATGATCTTGAAAAAATTTTCAGTGATTGCCTGTTTTTATCTAAGAAGATTTCCAAGAAAAGTATTGAAAGCTGTGAAAAAATTCCCAACAAAGAAGACAAGAATTTTGGTAAATTTAGATCTCTCCAAAATGAAAATATTATTATGTGTAATAATGTCTTCTAATATAGTAAATCTCAGAGCATCAGACTACCTGTAAGCATAAGATACAAAATGCAATTTTTTATGAAATTTTAAAATATAGTTAACTCTGACCCACTGACCAAAGATGATCACCTCTTAAAGGTGATCAGAATTTCTAAGAATGCACCAAAAAATATCACTATTGATATTATTATTAAGACAACCACTTCATAATTCGACCAGGACTATAAGATATGTTAATGCAGTTGTGAAAATGTGTAATTTCAGTATTAAATTTAAATGTTTTATGTATTAAGTAAATCAAGGAAATTTTTTTTCAGATCCTGCTATAACACCAAAGTTATATTTTTATTGAAAATACTTGTTAGTCATATCAGAATGATTTTTATACTTTTTTAGCATTATGTAAATTACCATACTAGCTTGATTTGGTGGTTAGGATATAGCTTGCTTTAAATGATTCATTGTATTTCCAAGTAGTTTATCCTATTTTTGCCCCATTGTTGCTTTCTGCATAGCTTGTAATGCATTACAAATTAATGTTCCAGTGGTATCAAGACAGTACAGTTCATTTCAACTTTACTACAGTCTGTCACAGCTACTTCATATTAAACAATCAGTGCATGTATAAATGTGGTTTTTAGTTTTTAATTTCATAAATTTAATTTATTAAATTAGAATGTATCAATAATCTTAGATTTAGGTGCCTGCAAAACAAAAATTAAAAACGTTAAATTAACACAGTTAAAAGTAACTGAAAATGCTGCTGGGAATTTGTCATGATGTAGATAGAACATTTCATTGAAGAGATGGAGGTAGTATCTAATACAACTTTACTTAGTATTAGACAGATATTTTAGTAAATGCTAAATGTTCCTAAATTTATTTTTAAATTTATAATGCATTTGTTTTCCACATAATAAAACATTATTCATTTACAGTATTTCTGAAAATTATGTATAGGATAATTTTTTTGGAAAATTTTCTGCATTATTTGCTATTTACTTGGTTAATTTGTTACTTAATGTATCATTAATCTTTTTAATATTTTGATATTACTGAGGTAACAGTGTTAATAAACTAATGTAATGCACTTAAGTATTTTTTAACAAATACAATAACATTGATTAGGCTAAATTTATTATGTAAAGTGCTAATTATCAGTACCATTAGCCATTTTGTCTGAAAAAATTCTCTCGAACCACCGGTGGTCATGCTACAGAGGATTCACTGTAGTTTCACTTTAGAAAGAATTTTTAAACTTTTAGTATTCGGTTGTATTACAAAAGGTAAGTTTTTGAAATAATCAAAGTAGTGTTAAATCACACAAATTAAGTAACAGAATGAAAGTATTATTAAACATGGCCCTGTAGCTGTCGTATAATGATGATTTTTATATTATATTCTAACAGTATTCAGTTATTTAACTTTTGAAGTAATGTAAATATACACTCTGTCACAAAAACATTTATGCGCCCAGAAGAAAGACTACATTCACCACAATCACAAAACTTGGCAGGAATGTAGTCTGGTAAGAGATATGCAAATGGTTTAAATTTCGACTCCAATGAGACAAGGGTAACCGCGCTATGTGCATGTGAGATGCACAGCTGGAGAGTTTAAAAGCATGATTGCTCATACCATATAACTATTCAAACAAATCTCTCGACTTGGATGGTGTTGTGAATAGAGATAGCTCTGAGACAACTAGTGGCAATACGAACAGTTGTCGGACTCTGAGAAGGGCCATATAGTAGGCCTCGGAGAAGCAGGTTGAGTTGTACAAATAACATTGCTAGCATCGAATCAACACCATTTACCCCCAAAAAAGCAATCATTGTTTGGTGTGAATTTTGAATAAAATCTTTACTCCTAAGGAAGAGAAACCTGTACCCAATTACCCTTAACAGCAGTAGTTTTCAAAATATGCACCAAACAAAATTTGCTTTTTTTCCCCAATTTTATATTCCATATTGTCCTGTTTTTTTCATAGTTTTACTTGTATACTTTGAACTTTTCATTTACATGATATGTATAGTACAAAGTCTTTAATCCGGCCCTCAAAGCTACAAACTTTCTGCGCATGCACGTTTTATGTATAACGGACGGTATAAACTAGGCTAAAATTATCTAATTATGTATTTCAGTTAATGTTGCAGATTGCGTTGTTCCTTAATCTTCTAATTGGATCCAGCTTATTATTTTTTGCAGACTATTAGAGCAATTTTATAAAAAGTAAGCTTGAACTTTCGATTATGTCAAAAAGAGTTTCCGATTCTGGAGCTGGCAAAGGATCTATAAAGCGAAAGCATTTTTCGATGTCCATCAAATAAAAAGTGGAATTGCTGCAAAAAATGGATAAAGGCATGAAGAAAGTGGCAGAGAGGTTAGTGAAAATGAAAAGATTTCGAATGACAAGTTAGTCGGTATTCTCGGCACAGCAATTACAGGACTTGAACAGCGGAACTTTGTAACTGAACAAGAAATTATATCTGTGTATAGAATTAAAGAGAAAGTATGAGCACATAAAATGAAGCAACTAATAAAGTAAACAATGTAAAGTTTTTAATAAAATAAACAAATAAATATTAAGCTTTTTTCTTTTTGTAAAATTTGATACCCTTTAGATCATAATTGCTCTTTATTTCATGAATTGTGGTTTCATATTTTCAATTATATAATTTCTGCATACCATCTTACCAAATTTAAATTGATTAATCTATAATTCGGAAAAAACCCTAATCCAGAATCGCGGAAGTCTCGACGAGTCCGGATTACAGACTTTGTACTGTACTTATATAATTCTAATAGTGCATACTTTGATGCACCAATACTTATATTTCTTATATCATCACTAGACAACAGGAAGCAAAATTCATCGATTTGTTCAAATCTGTGTTTACTTCAAGACCTAGAGAGCATCCAAATCACCCATTTTGGGATATCCATATCCGTACCAGTATGGCTAGGATATTGTGCATGGCACAACGTGTCTGGCTCATGAAACAAAGCCTAGTGGGCACATGACAATATGATAATACATGACGAATAAGTTTTTCAATATCATGTACTGCTAAATCACCAAAGTATTTGCAGTTCTCTTTATATCGCTTTAATAATTCCAATAATTTCTGTGTTTTATTTTTAAAAAAAAAAAATTAAAAAATAAATTCCCGATAAACAACAAAATTGCAATCAGCACTTCATTTTAAACTGATTCAGAGTGAGAGGGTCTGCAGTAGAGTCTACATACTCAAAAAGATGAAACAATAATAAAGAAACTAAAAATTATTTTTAGTCACTTAAAACAAATTTTGTCTCAAAATTTGCTACAATTTAAGAATTTGCTTATTTCAATAAACATGTTTGAACTAAAAAATACTCATGTAAAATTTCTTCTTGAAAAATATTGCAGCCTGTCCTTTGTAGTTAATTATAACCAAATTTTTTGCATTTTATTTATGTTATCAGTCAACTGTTGTCACTTTTTTATTAAATATTTCTATTTTTTTAAACTGCGAGTAACTTAATTTTAATTTGCAATCACGTTACTTGCTAAAGTAAAAAAAAAAAAAAAAAATGTTGAGACCTTTTATTAGATCTTTAATTCAAACTGTTTTATTTGATAGTGTATATACATATGTGGTTTGAATTCCATTTCAGGTTTCTGTAGCTAGGCATGAAAGTGACTAACTTTAAGCTAGAGCACTTTAAACTAATTTCTGAATTTGGATTTAGATTATAAAGCACAAAGGCTGTCTTCCTGCATAGAGAAATGTTTTTATAGAGGGTTTTTTTAAGGTAGATTGGCTTGTATTTATAGTATAACACATGAGTAAACCACAAAAGTTCCGATGAAATCTGCTCATATTGCTGGAATTTGAACCTAGGTCAAACTACCAATTTTCGCTAGTTTTATTACGTAGCTTCTGGTCAGCAAGTCTTATTTCTGAGAGTTTAAAAGAATATTAAAGTTCAGGGAAAGTTATAGTTGTCAAAGAGATCCTCACCTAATTAGTTAACGAAACTAACTCTAAAAGTAAATCACGTAACGTATTTAAAAGTGAGTTCCAATGTTTCTACGAATAATGAATAAAAAAGCATCAGTTATATACTGTATGTTGGGATTATAAGGAAAAGGTGGTAAAATTCTGGCTTAGCATAAGACGAATTTTTTTAAAACTGACATTACTTAGACCCACCCATCTGTAGCTCGATCAGAAGGGAATGTTAATCTTTTTTTAAACTTCTAACTACCTTTCATCCATTTAAATAAATTAGAGAACTTGATAACAGAAAGGAAAAAACAACATTTTCGTTTTTATGATTTTTAATATTTGAAAAATTATGGAGTTGCCACTTCACAAAAGATAGTTTTTAGAAACAATATAGGAGGTGCTACACACTTCCCTCCCAGTGAATTAGAAGACATGATCTTTTTGCGTGTAGTAACATAGGGATTGTTCATAGGCGAGATTCTCTCTGGGGGTTTGCACTGGGGAAGTGAGCCTGCATCATCCTCGAACATGGAAGTTTCCAATAACTGATGTATGTTGTCATTTAGAATAAAATGTGGTTTTAGTCTTTCTTTTGATAGTTCCATTAATTTCTACATGGAAGCATTTTGGTGCTTGGTGTTTGATAACAAGGACCAAGAGAAACTGGTTGTAAATTGGCTGCATTATTGAACACAAAATCGTACAAGCAGTTCAAAAGTTGCTTTGAAATGAAGACGATTTTATTGCCATGAGTAATCATTGCAAAAGGTTTCATGCCACTTATGATACTTGTTAGCCTCTGAACAAAATCTGAATGCGTAACATTAAAAGTCTTGGTAACAAATTTTCGAGATAAGCAGAGGAGACTTCCATAAAGGAGCTCAGCTGACTAGTATCTTCTGTCTTCTTTCACAGCAGTGCATAATCAAAGAATATATGGTATAGCGTCTACTCAAGATTTATTTCGCTGTGAATGGCACTTCAGGCTAGCTTGCATAGTTCTGTGCTGCTGCTCATTTAATCCATTCAATTGTGGATAGTATGCTGCAGTCTTAGTGGTGTAAAAACCAAAGTATTTACTCAAAGATGAGAAAAGTTGACTTTTAAATTGTCGTCCTTAGAAGTAATACAGAGTACTTAGAGTGTTTTGAAACCACGTATCCAGAAGTTGAAGTCATACCTTCTGCAACTGTTTATGACAACTGATCTGTTACAGGATGTGCTTCAACCCATTTTTGAAAATGATCAATCATTGTTAGCAAATATCTGAATTAGATACTTGGCATTCCAGATGCCATAATTGACAATCTTTATTAATATTTGGTCAAATAAATCTTTGCATCATTAGTTTTTTGGTGCTTCTAATTCCTTGATATAATAGGGTATTAATAGATGAAAATATTTGTCAACAAAAATTTGAAGGAATGTATGGGTGGTTGTTATTGGTGGAAACATCATAATAGATTGATTTCTCATTGCCAGGAGTAAGAATTTGAACCATTATCAGTCTTGGGTTATTTTTTAACATTGTTAAATTTTCGTTACCTTGAAATTTAGCTGTATTTCCATAATCAATTGGAGATGGTATAGAAATGGTATTAATTCTGGAAACAACATCAGCCACAGCCATTTTCCCCCCCTCTCGTGATGTATCAAATATTTGTTGAAAAATTAGCAATATAACTCAGTTGTCTTGCTTATCTGAGGAAAGCTTTGTCTAAATTTTATTGAAAAGGCAAATGGGATAGGTTTATGGTCCTTATAAATGATGAAAGTAGTTCTTTCTAACCTGTACCTAAAATTCTTTATTGCAGTATTAGATGGTCAAAAGTTCCCGGTCATACACACTGTATCTTCTCTGCATATCAGTTAAGGAACATGAGAAGAAATTTAATGGACACATCTTTCCATGTTCATTTTGATATATGACAGCCCCTATGGCAGTATCAGAAGCATCACATGTGAGAGATATAGTATTTTATTTTAGGGATGGAAAAGCGTACTAGCATGAGTGCAAGTGTTTTTAACGTTTCTGAATGCATTATGAGCATCTTCGGCCCATATTAGAGGTATTTTGCTGTTTTTTGTTATTTTGGTTAAGTAATAAGATTAGAGGCTGTTGCAGTTTGGAATGAAATGGTGATAAAAGCTCATGATTCCTAAGAACTTGCGTAAGTTGTTGGCTGACGTAGGTTCAGGTACACTTTGTATGCTGTCAACTTTTGTCGGAAGATGTCCAATTCCTTCAGCTGAAATTTCATTACCCAAATATTTAATTTTAGAAGTACTAAAAACTCTTTCTGCAATATCGGTACATAAATTGCAGTCATTTAACATTTTAAAAACTATATATAAGTGCTCATTATCTGACGTTTCATCAGAAGCAACCAGTATGTCGTCTAAATAGTGGACAACAAAATCTAATTCTGATAAGCACCATATTTATGAACTGTTGAAATGTCTGTGCCACATTGCATAAACCAAGCATCATGAAAGGAAATTCAAACAGGCCAAATGGAGTTAAAATAATGGCCATTTTTGGAATGCCGTCTTCATTCACTGAAATTTGTTGATAAGCTGTATGTGGATGAAAAAATTTTCTTTCCATGAAGAAAAGAACCACAGTCAATTAGAAATGGTACAGGATTGTGATCTGAGATGCTAATATCGTTAAGGAACCTGCAGTCTCCACATGGTCTCCAGTCACCTGATTTCTTTAAGGTAAGATGCAGGGGACTGGACCATCAACTTTTTGAAGGTATACAAAGACTTTGTTGTAACAGAAAATCGAATTCTGCTTTTGCCGCTTTTAACTTTTTAGATGAGAGTTTCCTAGCCCTAGCAGTAACAGGAGCTTCTTTGGTTTCTATATAATATTAAATATTGTGATTCTTGCTTTTATTATTTACAAGTGTTGTGTTGGTCATAATATATCAGGAAATTATTTAAGAATAGCTCCATACTTATTTTGTACTAAATTTAATGTTGGTGTATCAACACAATAGCAGGGAATACCAATAGGGAAGTGATGCCATCAATTAATTTGTGATTTTTACTCTTTTTAAAGGTAAAAATGAGACAAAAGGTCAATACGTGTTATTGGTTTATTGTCATCTGCAATCACAGAAGGACAATCAAATGCTCTTCTCAGTGCCAAATCTAATTTTAGAAACTTTTTATAAGTTTTAATTTTGGTTCCATTTTCAGCAAAGAGTTCCAGCTTGGCAACAGATCTTTTTTCTTCAGATAACAGTGGAATCGACGAAATTTCTGTATTGGTATCGGTTAAAAGTTGGGTGGTAGTCTCTTTGTCATGAATAAAATAATGACACAACTCCTCCACTCGGCTGTCTGGGAGAGCGGGGGGATTTAGTTTTTCTGCAGCTGAAGGTTGGTCTTATTAGGCCAATTGCAAGGTTTAATGAATTTGAAAGTTCTGTCGCCGAACTTTAAAGGATAATGTACCGTGTTGTCTATTACCACACCTATTGATAGAATTGCTTCTAGAGCAAGGTTGAAGGACAGAGAACTGTCTTTTATTCAACTTATTAAGATGCAATGATAACTCTGAAATCTGCTCTTGTAATTTAACAAAAGTATTGTCATCACTGAAGCATGCAACAGCAGCATTCTGATATGTTGATTTTACTTCTCACATTTTATCAGCTATTGTCACCAGTTTTGATAAATCATCACAACTTGCTGATAAAATGCTCATCATTTCTAATGATAATCTTTGAAGCTAAAGAGTTTCAAGGAAACGTTCACTCTCTTTATAAGTATCCAAATACTTCATTTCACAAAATAGCTGCGAAGATTTTTTTGTCACCTAATTCTGCTTCAGTTAATAGCTTCCAAGTTTTTTGGGATAATAATTCTAACAGGACCGCAGACCTATACTGTTACCATGCAAAGGTTATATGCTGACTAGTTTTGTTGTTTCACAACTTATGCAGAGTCAGTTGATAAATTTTACACAGGATTGAACACCACAGTATTGGTCTATTGGTACAATGGCTATTGCACCATCACTTTACAGAAGAAAGGGTCATGCAAGTGGAAGAAAGGGTCTTTGTTTCTGGTTCCCGTATCTAACATCATGTGACTTTTTATGTGGGATTATTTGAAGTTCAAGGTGTATCTTGATGGGGTTCCAACCTTGAAGTCCTTAAAAGACAATATATCATGAGCGATGCTCACAGTTCCTGGTGACATTTTACACTTGGCCGTCAGAAAAGTGTGTGTACAAGATGTAGTGTGTGATCCATGAGAAGGTGGTCACACTCTAAGAGGTCTATTCCTTCATTGAGGAAGCACTGTTATTGAAGAAAGTGCTCATGGTATAATAAATATCATCTCTGTAATCCTTTTGGGCAGTTCATTTGTTGAATTAAAGCGATGTTGCAATGATGTTTCTTCTGTGTTATTGATTTGCCTAGTTCTCAGGTGTGTAGACTAGAACAGTGCCACATTTTCCTCTTATGGGCAACTTTCAGAACTATTTTGTTTAACAGAATTATTTTCCCCATCTCTACCAAATTTGGTGGCATTCCAGCTGTCAGATTGAGCTACAGATGGCTGAATAGTGTCAGTTTGAAAACAAACACCCTATGTGTGTATATATATATATTAATATTTTTTTTGTAAACTTAGGCAGGAGGTTTGGAGCATTTTTATTATTGTGAGAATGAGCTCCAAAATTCTGCTATTTGCTAAAGAACTGAAAAGAAATATGGTTCGTTTTAAGAAACTTTGTAGTATTCATATTATACATGAGGGGGGAACCCCAAAACTTCCATGGAGTGGGTCTGTTCATCAGGGTATATAGAATTGCCAACATTCCATAAATGGAATGCGTTCCTGAAGCTTTAATTTCATTCATTTTGGCCGATAGCATTTGCTATAAAATGTACCTGCTTTGATAATTTTTTTTTGTACCCTATCGGTACTATACATTTAACTTGTACTCACCATGTTTATTACCATATAAAGTATGTGCTATTTGTAAGGCACTAAAATTGCTACAGTATGATACATCTTTCTGTAGTAAAATACTTGATCTCCATAATTTCTTGCATTCTTGCCTAATTTTTCAAGCATTATGTTTGAGTAATTTTCATCATCTTTGTATGTTTTTATGTTTTGAGAGCTGAAATATATATATATATATTGCTTTTTATCTCATCATTTATAATTTTATATTTTCACTGTGTGAATTGATTTGCTTGGCAATGTTCCAAATTTTTTATATTTAGGTTAGTGTGTATTGTCCTGTGTGATGTCATATCTAGGGTATTATTTTTGCCAGGACAACTGATATTTGCTTTCAGAGAAAATGGATTATGGCATATTTTTATATGCTGTATTAACTATGTCATTTTATATCACTATTGATGAATGTAACTTGTTTTGATAAAGTTTTTCATATATTTGTACATATATGTAGAATATAAACATTTTGTTTGAAATTTAATTTAATTTTATTATAAGCTTCACTTCTTTAACCTTAGCTTTTTCTTTTTAATCAGATAGTGCAAGCAGTAGTGAATGTGCACAGTTTCAGGAAAGGGAATTAATATCATCTACTCCAACTACAGATATATCTGTTGACGAAAATGATGTATATAAATTGGTGAAAAAGGTGGAATTGGTAAGATATTGTTTTCTACTGTCAATCTCTTACATTTGGTAATGTAACTCTAGGTATACTCTAGGTATTGTTGTTATGATTTATCTCAGTTCATCTGATGTTAACGAATTTTATCATGGCTAAGAGTGCATCTGATATTTTCATTGCCCTTGGGTATTGTAATGCAACTTTGCGAAGTGCCATGCAAGTGTCTCTCAGGGAATGGGCCCAAGGTTCTCCTACCTACTTGCCTACCACCAAGCAACTGCTGAGGAGGGGCTTACCATGTATTTTAAGTTCCCAGATGTTGCAAGAACACTGTACACTTACAAACATCCAAGTCTTATCTGGGATTTCAACCCAAGCCCAGCGATATGGCAGTCGGCAACATTAACCACTGTCTTGATCAGAGTGGCAAGTACTACTGTAATTTAATATGGTGGAACTTCAGTTACTTGAATCACTTCTTTCTAGGCCAAGTTAACTCAAGTTTTTAAGTTTAATTCATGTACAGGGTGTCTCAGAACTATTGTTCAGAAATGTGCATGGAGATCTGAAACATAATAACAAGCAATAATCATGTAAGAACATAATGGTATGTATTACCTCAACGTGCAAGAGGGTGCTGAACTTTGAGAGAAGGTCTGGCTAGGATAGGATGAAGCTATAGAAAGTGTTAATTTGATCCCTAGACCTGTCCCATACTGATTTCTTTTTCCAGGGCTACATGAAAAGCTTAGTGTATGAAACCCTTCTGAAAGTGAACGGGAATCTAGTGGCATGCATTGTTGCTGCAAATGATGTTTTTTCTGATAAACCCAGCATTCTTGCAAACATGTGCCATCGTTGTATATATTGCAATTGTAGGCTTCAGCATTGAACATTTGCTTTAACAGTGTCATTTACACAATATTGTAGTGTTCTCTCAGTTATCTAGTAAATCTTCATTATTTGTAACCTTTCCTGCATCTGTCTTCTTGGGTGTGTGTTGGGTTTGCACGTGCAACCCTATATTCCTGTGTGATTATTGCCTGTTATCGTGTTTTAGACCACCATGCATTTCTGAACAGCAGTTTTGAAACACACTGTATATTTTCATTCATTTACATAATATGGAGAATATGATGCAATACGTATTTTTAAGCAGCTATTAATTTAGATGAATATACCAGGTTGTTCAGTAAGTTCGCGGAACGGAAATGAAGAAACCAATTTTTATTTGTAAAAATTACTTTATTTTTCAACGTAGCTTCCCTCAACTTCAGTACACTTATTCCAACGGTCTTCTAATTTATGGATCCCTTGACTGTAGTGGTTTTTCGGCAGCTCTGTAAAATATCCCTCTACGGCAGCTATTACCTCTTCATTTGAAGAAATGTTTTCCACGGAGATTGTTTGAGGTGTGGGAAGAGCCAGAAGTTGGAGGAGCTAAATTGGCGAATAGCTGGATGTTGCAACAATTCGTACTTCAATTCAGTTATTTTAGCAATGGTTTTTTTGAGCTGTGTGCGCAGGTGCGTTATCTTGGTGGAAAAATGATTTTCTTCTTCTGTAATCCGGGTCTTCTTTCACGAAATTTTTTCGTCTAATTGATTCAAAAGGTTACAATAATAATCAGAATTAATTGTTTTGCCAGTTTGATAAACAATAAAAGGTAATCTATAAACAAAATTCCTTTCGCATCCCAAAAAACTGATGCTAACACCTTCTTTGGCTGATTTTTGCACACGAACTCGCTTCGGCGCCGAAGAGCCAGGTTCACACCACTCCTTAGCTCCTGTTTTGATTCAGAATCATGATGGTAGACCCAAGTTTCATCCATTGTGATAAATCGACGGATAAAGTCACTTTTATTCTTCTTAAAACGCTCCAAATGTTGCTGGCAAAGTCTCATTCGAATGTGTTTTGCTCATCGTTAGAGAATGCAGCAACCCATTTGCACAGAGTTTTTTGAAACCCAAATTAACACTCAAAATTTTGCTCACTGTGCCCAATGAAATGCCTAGAGCCTCTGTTAAATCTCTTTCAGTCAATCAACAGTCTTCCAATAACATATCTTGTATTTTTCCGATGATTTCCGGTGGTGATGCAGTTTTTGGACGTCCCTCTCGCGGATCGTCTTCAAGGCTGGTACGACCACTTTTGAATAAACTAGCCCACTTACAAACCATTGTTTTTGAAGGAGCAGATTCACCCAACACATTCACCATTTCGGTATGAATTTCAATTGCCTTTAAACCTTTCTTTACAAAGAATTTGATAACTGCACGTTGCTCAGTTTTATCCATACGTGAAAAAAGGCACAACACGTTCAATATAAAGGGCAGTTAAACAATGAATAAATTAACAGATCGAAATGAAACGTTTGACGTGTTCCTAAGAAAGAACAAATATGAAAATGGCGTCGAAGTTTTAGGTCTAATATTGACAAATAGATGGCGCTCCACGAACTTATTGAACAACCTTGTCTGTAGCTTGTAGGCTGGCTTGCAGTGTTCAACAAATATGCAGCTTAATAGAAAGAATAGAAGCATTGATAGAAAGGAAATTACATACTATATATAAATCCATTGTTCATTTTCCAGTCACTGCTAGCAGTGTTTTTCTGAAGGCTGATTGAACAAATGTGGTGATGTTATGTCAGGTACCTCTCCGTTCAAGACTTTTTCCCCTTAGGTTTATGTAGCATAACTGTGATTCAATTACTCTTTGTTAGCCTGTTTGTGCATGTTGCTGTCTTTTTAGTCATACTCCCTTCATCGTAAAATGTAGTTTTCTTTGGTTGGTTATTATTATTATTATTTTAACTGTAGAGTCTTTCTTTTGAGCAGCAATTCAATGTATGAAAATATAAAATTATAATTTTCTTTACTTACTCAGATATACTTTTGGCTTACAGGAAAAATAAAAAGATATTCCACATATTTGCATATTTGAATAGCTGGTTAGACTGTCAGTTTGGCTAACTGGAGTTCTGTTATACTTGTAGCTGAAGTATAATATACTTAAGAATGTATTAATTTGTATTTAAATTATATGTGTATTGGTCCATAGTTTACTCACATAATATAACAGAGTAGTTGATATTCCATTTCCTTCATATGTTTGGTAATAACATACGGTTCCTCTACTGTTTGAAAATAATTTGACACAAATGTCTTATCTTGATTATGTGTGGGTAATAAATTAGATTGAAATATATTTTCAGGTTAACAAAGCCAGAGAAGCCTATAGCTTTGAAATTTGATTCAATTAATTAAAGAAGAATATAAAATAATGAATTGTAATTTGAAAAGTGTTATGAACTCTCATCTTGCATAATGCTATAAATTATGGAAATTTCATAAATTTGTGAACAAATTTTCATTCTAGTGTAGAAATATTTAATCACTTGTGCTAAAAATATAGAAATTGTAGAAAAAAGGGAGCAATTCGAGTTTTCTAATAAAAATACCAACTCAAAGTAAATAAAATATGTCAAGTTTCTGAATTCTCTTAAACTAAATTTTTCAATTACTTTAAAGCACCAAATAACACTCAGAAAATTTATCCTCTCATCTGCCTTTCTAACAAAAGGTATCACAGTCCAAAGTACAGCTTTAAGGGCTATTTATTAATGCATCAACCCAGGAGTTATACAAATTGTAAGGTTTACCAGAAACGGAGCGCCATTACATGTATTTCAAAACACATATTCAATTCAGTCAAATGCTAAATACATAATTAACATGCTCTGCTAGACTTTGGGTCATCCCTAAGTGTTCACAAAGCAAACATGGCTAGCCAAAGCATAAGCCAATCAATTAAATTCAACGAGTAAGGAAGGTAAGCAGAATAATGATCAACCAGTGTTTCTAAGCTACTTAAACTCAGAAATTGTACATTTACTCTGGCCATCAAAATTAAAGAATAATGACAAATAGAATGTAACTGATACTTAATGAAAAATTATTAATAGAAATTTGTACACAAGCATTAGTTAACATAAATTGCAATGTTTGCAGTTCATTATTTGCAAAATATTGAAATTAAAATCAAATTTATGAAAATTGGAAAATGATGGGAAAATTAAGTCACCCCTTGGGGAAAAAAATTTTTCTTTCATGTGGTGTATGCTCACCTTGGACAGATATGCATACCTTACATCTTGATTTTATAGACTTTACCAAAGTGTTGATCAAGTCTAGTAGAACTGCATGTTGCTCTCCTAAAAGTGCACTTTTCAGCTACTGGGGGATCCAGGGAGGAATTTGACATACTGAAATTCGGCACTTTAAGGCATCCCACATATTCTCAATCAGGTTCATGTCTGGTGAGTGAGGTGACCAATTCATTTGAGTGATATTGTCTGTTTACAAGTATTCTGACACCACATATGCTTGATGAGGCTGAGCATTGACATCCATTGACAAAAATTCTAGGCCAACAGCACTCCTAAACAGTCTAACTTGGGGTTGCAGTACCTCATCCACATATCTCAGTGGTTACAGAAGCTCCTTGAAAGATTTGCAGCTAGATGCAGACATTTGTATTGACCACTAAACCACTAAACCATGATTGTGGAAATGGGATATTTCATAGACAAGAGAAAGCAAATTGCATGTCCCTTCCTCTTGCCAGGTCAAAACATGTCTAGAATTATTGTTCAGACTGTATTTGGGCTCATCAGTAAACAATAATTGGGCCTAGTTGTCTTGGCTCCATTGGACATGATGATGGTACCAGTTTAAACCCTTTGGAAGGTAGAGTGAGTGGGACACAAAACATTGGTTTTTCTCGCATACAGCTCAACTCCCTTGATCCTTCTTGCAGCACAACAGCTGATTTGAGTTTCTGTGACACCCCAAAAGTTTGACCAGTGATTTAGACTTAAACTTATTTGCATTTGCTGAAAGCAGATGTAAATATAAAACCAGAATACTAAGATAACTGGGTTAACATGAAACATTACATACCATGAAAAAAATCTAATCTGCAGGAAATCATATTGTAATGCAGATAAAACAATTGTAGAAACAAAG